ATTTTGTTCTTTGTGTATCGTTTTTTTTTGTAAGTTTATTCGTTAGTGTGGCACATCATCGATAGACAATTCGAAAATGAAACCAATTCAAGTCAAAGAATCGAAACGAAATGAGAATGTTATATCCAAATTTGAAGGGAAATAAAAAAAATTAGTTTGAAACAGTGGATGATGACATGAAGAGCATTACGAACTCTCGCATAAAGAAGACAAAACGGGTTCTAATTGAGCGATTTCCTATGTATTTTATTTTCAACTTTATGTGTTTTTTTGTTTATCTCTTTTCCTCTTTCTCTCTCTCTCTCTCTCTTGCTCTTCATCATCTTCGTCTCTCTGCATATTCATTTTGCTCTTTTGATACAATCATTAAAACTATTATTTGATTCTATTGTATCGAAATGGAAAGATATTACCGACTAACAAAAATCAATGTAAATTATGTGATAGAGCAATAGGTACATGGATATGGTGTGTGCCGGTGTCAGTCGAACGAAGAACACAAGGCTGTGTATGATCACACATTGAACGCCCCGAAATGGTCCGTTTTTTTTCATCATCATCAACATGCGACCGACACTAATTTCTCTCTTAAGCAGCATGTATGATACCACAAATGATTGTGTACAAAAGGTAACATATAATATTCAAGTGAGTCGTCACACACATCCGTTTTCATTTGAGAGACAACACGATGTGTTGGCCCATACACATAAAATACACACCGAAAACCGCCATAAAACCGAACATTCGAAATACCGATGAATACGAAATCATGTATTCAAAAATTGTTTGTGCCTCGTGCACACACGACTCGCTTCAACCGATGTTCTATGCGCAATGTGCACATTTTGTGGCAACTTATTATTTTGACATCTTAACATATATCTCCATATGTGCATCCAAATGAAACACCGAAAAACAGCGAAAAATACTCGCTGTCAGAATTTTAATAAGGATGGGAATTTATACAAAACACGAATATTCTCTCTCGCTCTCTTTCTCGCTCGCCTTCTTTAACCAAAGGTGAGCAATCATGAATCGTTCACGGATTCCAATGCAACTTGAAAAAAGTGGTTTTATTGTGTGTTTGAGTTTGTGGTTGGAACAGCAGCCGCCGTCGTTCCGCCGCTACAACTTAATAGATCCACTATATTTAAGCTATTAGGACGGTGTTTTTGACGGTTAACACAATCGTTTAAATTGTTAGTCGATGGTTTGTTACATCGCGAGAGAGGGAGAACGAAAAGAAGAGTAACCATTTTCTGTTTCAGTTGCGCTCTACCTGTTTTCCACCATTCTTTTGCTTCGAGATAACACATGTGTGATGATGGCTTAATAGTTAAATAATAATACACCTATATTTTTATTCTATTATATTTCGTTTCGTCTTTGAGTTTTTTTTTTTGTCTACTGAGTGTTGGTTGTTCTTGTGGTCAATTAGGTGACCGAATACATAAGTATTGTTTTACCGGAGGACATTACTGGAATCGGTATTCGGATTTCGAACGATACATTTTTTTTCACCGGCGTTATTATTTTTTCTCTCTCCCTTTTTTTTCTGAATGTCGTTATCGTTGTTGTTGTTTTAAAGTACAGTGCTAGATCGTCGCTGTGAATGCATTTGATGTCATTGTGTAAAATGTAGGACTACATAAAAAACACATATAACACTATTGTTTTATCTTATCTCAAAAATTTCGTAGGTTATAATTTTTTTTCCACCAATGTCTTGACACCATAGGGAGCAAACTATCATTTTAACGAACGAGCAATAGTTAAAAATGAAACAAATAAAACAAAACTAACAACATGAAAAACAACAAACGATCCATCGAGCTGGTTAAATGATAGCAGAGCAAACAAAGCAAATGAATCTATGAATGCATTCGGCGTGGTACGATCAGAGAAAACGACATCGCCAGCAAATAATCCCGTCGATTCGGTCTCATTGTGTCATTGTTTTCTCAAGCTAATAAAATACATTATATGTATATAGTTTTTTCGTGAGTAAATTCGTAGAGACAAACTAATTTTACATTGAAATAGCATCCGACAATAGTTTGTTGTTGTGGTTTTATTTTGTGCAATACTTGCAAACGTGAAATCATCATCGATCGAAAGTGGAAGAAAATTGTTAAACGTAGACTTAAAATTGCAGTTTTACTGTCTTAAGAGTTGGTTTAAGCCATCGTTTAAATTTTGTTTAGCATTTAGAAAGTTCAAAGCGTCAATATAATTGAATTAAATCAACGGAAATAATGTCTACAATAAACAGAGTTATATGAACGAAGAAAAAAAATTATATGTTGAATTAGTAGCGTGTCAATGTGTGAGTAAACGCGTCGATGTCAAGAATAATGAAGACATTACGTTAAGCTAAAAGCATCAAATTTAATTCTTTTTAAAAAACATATTTGATCACATCGTTATGGAAATTTATTGCTTACAATCAATGAATTAACGAAAAATCTATGTGTGCTTGCGTTCGCTTACCCACTCTGGCCGAATGGAATAGCGCGAAGAAAGAAATTTGTTATAAAATTGAGTGAGAAACATTCTGCTGATGTATATTAATTTTATTTGATTGCTGTGCGCAATTTGATATTTTAAATTGGAAATATAAATGCGCGATGAAGTTAGTGTTGTTTATTTTATTTTTTCATCATCTTCTTACTACTTCTTCTTATTTTTCACTAAAGCATTTGAATAATAACATTTTTTCAGCTGGTTATGATGTGCGAATGGAAGCTAACCGGGGGTTAAATAATATAATATATTAAGGCGCTATCATTTATCGAATCAAACATTTACATTTTTGATTTTGAATATTATTATTATTTGTTTAAAAAAACATATCCAATCTGGCAACGGCCATATCGGTCCTGATTATAACACTGATTTTTTTTTTGCTCTTCTGATTCATTAATAAAATTCAAAGTATTTTGAGCGCCAAAGTTGCGAACGTATTTAAACAAGGATAGATGATAATGATAAAATTATGCTCAGATTTTATCCACATTACCACAACCGACGTACACAACCAATTTTTATCCCTCTTCTCTTTTCTTTCATCTCTCGCTTCATTTCAACCATTTGATTGAGTGTCGTGCTAATAACAAAATTCTTTCACTTTTTATTTCGAAAAAAAAAACGGAAGTCTTTTGATTAACACCTTTCAGGAAAAATGCAATGCGAAACCCTCTTTTTATTTTATTGTGTATCTCGTGCACTCTCTTTCTCCTTTTTAAATGTCGCATTGTAAAACAGCAATGAACAATGTCACACGATGCATTCACAAGATTTCAATATATACATTAAAACCACATCCGATTGGTCTCATAAAACATGCAATCAGAATGACTAACTATGATGGTGTTGACATTATGGCAACGAATGTATGGAAGTTCGTTGACAAAAAAAATTATTGTAATATTATGAAAGAATCTACCTCTTAATATTTATTTTTTTGTTGTTGTTTTGTCTTTTTTTGGTTGTTGTTGTCAGTCAGACCATTCACAGTCGCTTTAGTAGACAGTTTGTTTAAACTGGTGAGTTCACTGATTCCGCAAATGTTCTCCTCTCATTTTTCATCGTCCCATCATCACCGTATATTTTGCTTTAATTTCATATTTTGTTATAGCTCGTTTGTTGTCGATGCTTGAAAGTATACAAATCTGTCTTTTTTTTTCTCGTTCGTTCTGTTCATTTCGGTCTGGCAAATTGGTTTCGTTAATTAAGTCAACAAATAAAACTGCATCTGCGTGGGCTGAATTTTGGTGAAATAACAATATTTCACGCGAGTCAAAGTTTCGTTGCTTTACACCATACCAGGTTTGCACGTAATTTATCGCTTTAACACTGAACAACGTGTGATTTTTTTTTTGGATTCGCGCACGGTACACTCTTTGTTTTTGAGCAGCAATTTTTGCATTATATCTCCTCTCATTTCCCTTGCCGCTCGTTTACTCTCTTTCTCTCTCTTTCACTCTCTCTTTCTCTCTCTGTCTCTTAAACGAACACAAATGCAATAGGCACGAAAAATTGCCGCAACTAATTGTGTTATTCGCATGCAGTTAAAAAAGACTGTTGATGATTAAAAATGGCTCACACGTTGTGAATGTGTATATATACTATAAGGAAAAATAAGCGATTTCGGAAAAAAAATATGTTCAATCTCTGTGTGTTTTTTGTCGGTGTTTATCGAGTTTTCATCGACTTCTATATCATTGCTACCTGCTGATTTTTTGCTGAAAAAATGAAACCCAGTTCAGTTACGCAGACACATTTTCAAATCCATGCAAAGGCTCACGACACAGACAAATCAGTGATAATTTGGCAAAAAAAAAAAAACGCGAACGGACGACAACAACTATTCACAGTTGTTAATACCGAATGCAATCGGTGTTCGCAGTCGAAATTTGTTTATTTTATTCGAAGAAATTTACAGACTGAATTTTCTTGTTGCATTTCGATCAATTTTGGTGTGCACTCGGAAGAGAGAGAGGGAGAGAACGAAAGAGAGAAAAGGTGGAGATAAATTGAATTGAATAAAAAAAACTCGGGATATATTTAGATGTAGATTTTGAAACGAAATACGCGGAACGAGATAATTTCAATTCAAAAAAAAAAAACAGCGTCACGATTTCTTTCGAATAACCGAAAAAATTGCGTATGCCGGCATACCGCTAGCATTCTCTGTTTGTCGTTTTCTCTTCACAATGCTGTATTTTTATTCTTTTTCCATGTATTCATTTTCAGGACAAACATTGAGACCTATATCACTGCGACCTATATCATTGCTCGATAAATTGATTCTATCGACACCAAAATATATCATCAAATGGTTGAAGAGAAGTAGGGAAAAAAAAGTTGTGTGTATGTATGGATTTTCAACGCCAAAACCATCTCAATCAGTGGGCAAATTCAGACGCGCAATAACTTAGCGAATAGCAATGCTATATCAATATTGAAAAATGAGAAGTGTTTTTTTTTGTATTTACCTTATGTCAAATATGGTAGTTCTGCTGCGCGTTGCGGATGCAGTTTTTCAGCTATATAGAATATCCGTTAATGATGTTGTCGTTGAACAATAAAACGACATTATCCAATTTAAGTGAATACATAAATATTCATGTTCGATTAAAATATTGTGTTTTCTATTTGAATCGTTGCTGTATTGAAGTGGTATTGCAAGAGTAAATGTAATAAAAAATATTTTTGTTGATTTTTTCCGTGCTTGTGACGCACTGCCTTTTATTGTGTTGGGGTCGGTGTGGTTGAATCGGCGTGTTGGTGGCTATTGCTTCCCGAAATGGATTTACGATAAAATAATTGACAAATACCGCACGATAATACCAGATTATAAATATAAAAACACATCCATTTTTTTCTTCACTCGGTTGAAATGCATCTGTTGTGTTCGTCGCATGGATTGTTTGTTCTCTTTCAATCTGTGCCGTCAATTCGTTGCACACCAGTATCTTTTATACTGTTTTATTTTACAACGGGAGTATAAGACGATAAAAATTAACGACAATAGCTTCTCTCTTACTCGCTTTTTGTGTAAATTGTTTAATTAAGTTTGATATGATGTTTACTTTGTTTAAGTAATACCGTGTCCTGTTGTCATCGAAACTCTCTCGCGCGGCCAATTCACAAATGATCACATACCGTACAAGATGTAAGCTTAATGCTTCATATCAAATACGAATTGGGTGTGCGGGATTATGACTCATTCAATGCGATTATAAGTTCATTATTTTGTCACTGTTTCCATGTATTGGCATGAGAATTTCACTTTGCGTTATTTCATTTTCTTTTATGCGCCGATCGTCGTCGCCAATTTCTACACAATTTTTATTTATGTCATACTATGTGTGGTCAGCATACAATGCGATGAAATTTATGTGAAATGCGGTTCTTTCGAAAATTCCGTGACAGGAAGTAAATTTCATTTGTTTCTTTCTCTTTTGCACTTTCAAATGTCGTAGAACATCACTCTATTCACATGCACACACAAACACAAAATATAGTTTATCAAAATTGAGTTTATTACTGTGTTGATTGACTAATCGCTTTGTGAAAAAAATAAAATAAAACATGGACGATTTTGCTCAGCTCATAGACATTGATAAGTAATTACTTGTACCGAAGCACATGGCATAAGCTCACATAAAAATCACCGGGTCAAGAATTAAAGGCCCATCGTGCCGGGCATTGCATTTTTCGATACCAAGTCGCGAAAATGGGCATTGCAATGAAATTGATTTTTAAATCAGCGTCATAAATTGTTAATAATCACAGTAATTTTATATGGCGTTAAATTCACTATTTAAAAAAAATCGATAGATATTATAGTATGCGCTAGACAAATCGACGGGAAATCACAATACACACTAACACCGGTGGACAAAAAAAAAAAACAAACCAGCGATAACACTTTGCTTTTTGAAAGAAAAAAATAGCATCGATTTACATTCGATGGCGCCACAGAGTGCAATTTAAAACATATCGATGCGTTGCTTGCAAAAAAGAGAATACCATCAACAACAACAAACTATAATCCTTATTAATATATATTTATATACGACGATAATAACACAACGGTAGACGGTTTATAAATATTAAATTCGTTTGTCGCCGCGCATGAATGCAATTTCTTTTATATTTTATTTTGATTGGCACTTGGTGCGAGAGCACTTTTAATTATTTGATAAGATTAATTTCACATTATGAATGTTTTTCTGCGTTAAAAAAAATGTCGGCAGTCAGTTAATGCATTTATATTTACAATGTTATGTTTATGTATTTTATCTTGTTGTCGTTGCGTCTTTCTTATTCAATGAATCTGAAACGAATAGAACAAAAAAACCAATTAATTTATATCGACACAGCCGCAAATAATTTTATAGATTCAGCACACCTGACCATTTTAGTTCTTTTTTTTGTTTGTTAAACCGACTTATCCAGGTCAATATGATACATTCAACAAAAATTATATCAAAAATTCCAATAACATGTTTTTTTAAACACTCATTGGATTTGTTTATGGTATAATTTTCGTATTTTTAGAGAGTGGAATTAAACAATTTTTGAATTTGTGCACATTTTACCGACCGAATAATTTCAATCGATTCGTGTGTAATGCTATGTCATTTATTTCGTTTTTTCCCTCACTTTTAACACACCAAAGTATCCATATGAAATTGAACCTTTTCGATGCAATACAAGATTGACCCTATTTTATACGATCAATGAGCATTTGTATGTATAAACAACTTCACATCTTGTTAAAAAATTCATCTAACTACTGACCAACCGAACTCGTCTTCTGTCTATATGTCGGTTGCGGCTCGCTTGTTTTTTGCTACATGATTGGCATACATGGAAAAATAGAGAGAAAAAGAAGCAAATTTATCCATGAAATTACCTTAACGGCGTGTATAATTTCAAATGGAAATTTAATAGTGGTAAAAGTTTGTTGGATAATTTGTGTCCATGGCAATGGAATTTGAACGACTAAACAACCAAGAAGCAGCGTTTTCTTTCTATTTCTCTTTCTGTTTGACTTTTTTTCACACAGCGAAGAATGAATTAGATGGTATATTATGCGTGTAACTTTGTGACTGACAGAGAGAGAGAGAGAGAGAGAGAGAGAGAGAGAGAGAGAGATCTGGAATGACAAAACGTGTACGCACAGCGCACACAGTAGTTTTGTCCACACAACCGATCTCTTCGAACAATCCATTCGATTTGGTTATGCCTTTGTTCGATTAACTGGAATCTCAGTTTGATGGTTTTCAAAGCACCTTATCATATCAATCAATTATGTTATTAAATAAACATTAAGGTTGATTTTATTGACAGCTGGTTAACGAAAGCGCTATTACAACGCTTGAAATCACTTTTTTGAAGATTCTCATTCTTGGCCAGTCGATCTGTTTATCTGTCTACGTATGTATATAACAAAAATATTGGCTTTGGCGATGATTCAATGTTTTGGTACTTTTATTTTCATTAATTTGTTATCTCGTTTCAGAGATCACAATTTAGATTCCACAAAAATCTTAATATTTCATGTACTCGATGTGTGTTTTTTTTTAAATTCTTCTCTTTCGCTCTAACCGTTTTTCCGCTCTTTCTATCATTTAAACAAACACCTCGTTCGAGTAAAATCCGTTTATCAGTACCAATAAGAAGAGACCATACAGACCATGTATACCAGCACACAACAAAGCTATTCAACGTAATATCTGATCGTTTACGATTTTAATTAACCAGAATACATTAGTCATATTTTCAAAAGGTAAGAAGAAATGAAAAAAAAAATCAACTACTTCTACTACCTCACACGCACGATCACTGTGTCGATCAGAAACGATCTATGCACGATCACTCTCTAAATAATGATGAGAACAATGTGAACGAGACGAGAGAATGACTTATTTGGCTGATCATTTCAGTTATGTCAAATATTTAATGATGCCAGAATCGAATCGACTAGATAAAAATTCGTAACATCAATTTAACGATGTTTCGATTTAAATGGAAAAAAAGAAGCCCGTCGAATGAGTTGTTGTTTTTTTTGTTGTTGTTTCGTCCCTTTGTGAATTGGTGGCTTTGCGCGTCTGTGGCCCGATTGCGATCGTGTATGATATGTGCAATAATAACAGCAGCCGACACCGCACATCATCAGCAGCAAACAACAACTCGCATAATACTTTCATTACTTGTAATCTATATTGTTTATTATGCGTATTGATTTTATGACCAACGGCTGAAGACGCTGCATATGTGTAACATCGGTTGATTTTAAAAATAGATAATCATTAATCGATCGCATTTAAATTGATGGATCGTTTATTCGTTCGTTTTATCTTTCATTCTTTGGTCGTGTGCATCACTTGTGATGTTGATGTGTGGATTATTTCCATTTTTTACACAATTCAGATACCAAGAGCGCATATTTAAGATAATATCTGCTGTTTTTATGCTTGTTAACATTTTTTTCGTGTGTTCGGTTTTTTTTTTGTTGAGAAAAAAAAACTGCAATTGTTGTATTCCAATTATTTTGTTTGAAATGTGACGTTTGTGAGTGTTCTCAATTTATTGGGGCCCGGAAGCATCCATCGTGTTGATATTGAAATGGCGAAAAACAAAAAATATAATACGCGTCACACACAATTGTAATTTCTGCAATAGAATATGATGAATAGATGAGAGAATTTATGACGAATACACACACAAACACATTCACAAGCATCAAACGGTCTTTTTGGTACAAGTGAAACAATCGTAAGAATATCCAATAAAATTCAATAGATTATTGTGAGATTAGAAAAGGTTTGAGACGTTCGTAGAACTGCGGATTCGTTGATGTTTGAGTGTGAGAGATAAAAATATTACCGTATAATATAGTCGAAATGAGCGATTGTTGAGACTTCAATAGATAGGACCACTTGATTCAGACGCATGTAAATGAAACGTCGATTCACTCTTGACGGCTGCTGTAGGGCGACACAATAGAAAAGGCGATGCGTTGAGAGTCAATTTGAAACACATCATAAAAGATGGTTTTTTTTTTTAAATACGAAAAATAACAACAACACCATCAACGACGACGACGTCAACGACGATGATGATAAATAAAAGAGTATAAATCAGAAATACACATTGCTGAATGATGATGATGAGATGACGATGATGCACCGATTTTTCATAATCTTTTCTTTCTATCTCATTCTCTCTCTCGCTCTCATTTAAATCCGGAATTTAGTTGTGTAAATGAGAATTGTTTGTTTGATATGCAACAGACGAAAGGAATTCAATGGCCAAATGAAAGAGGTAGAGGACTACTTTATATTCGAATGAGAATTTTTTTGTGTAAAATATTGACAATGAAAAATTACTCGTCAATGTACATTTCGAGCGAATTAAAGAGAAGAAATCAAGGGAGGGAAGAGATAAACATTAAAATATGAGCCACACAAATAGCACTCATTTTATAACATCGATGGCATAAAAAGCCGCTTCAAATGACCAAAACCATTTTACCGTGATTGAAAGTGTTTCAATGAATTGAGTGGCGAGATGGTGGTGTTGCCGATAAAATGCGTTGAGGATTATACCTGTGTATATGATATGATTATTTTTGTTTTGTCTTCACTTATTCTCGATGAATTCAAAGAAAACGAAAAAGAAGAGGAAGAAAAAAAAACGTTTGCAACGCATTTCAATATAAAAATCCATTGAAAATATAATATTTATATTCCAACATTTTCATAATAACATAAAAACTTCATCTCTCTATTGCTCTTATCTTCCTCATTCTGTTTCTGCTTCTTCTTATTCTTCTTCTCTGTTCTTCACATTTAGCATTCTCCTTATTTATCTTTGTCCGTTCATTTCTATTAGAATATAATGAAAGGTATTTTTCTAGCGAACGCATGTGAGTCAACCGTCGCAACAACAACAGCATCAACGGCAAAATAAGAAGAAATAAAAAAGGCGATAAGCATGAAAAGTCAAGTGTATTACAAACCAGTGGAATGAAATAAAGAAAACAAAAAAAAATGAAACGACCAAATCCACGCGAGATAGAATAGTGGTAATCAAAAAATTGAGAATAAATTAGATCAGTGAACAAAAACATATTAACTAAATTGTCAGATTAGAGTATGTTCGGTATATTCGATTTTGAATTAACCGCATGTATAATATGTGTTTTTGTGCATTTCTCTTTGTGGTTTGCCTTTTTTTTTTGTTCAACCGACATGCTCTTCAAATCGATGATGATTATGCAAAGAACAATCGCTTTGAATCAACCAAAATCTATGTCTAATGATTCAAGTTAAGAGCCACTTGGATATTGAGTCAATAAATTGAATTCAAAATTCGATTTCTTAAAATCAACCGATTTTTTCTACATTGGACCATATCGATTAAATTAGCCACAAATGTTAATAAGTGTTGTGTATTACAAGTTCATAACGAACGAATCATATTCAGAGGAAGGATAGGAATGTGCCAAGTGTGCTTCTGAATGCATTCTGAAACATTCAACATTCGATAACTGCAATTTTATTATTAGCAATTTCGCAATGATGTACGATCAAAAGCATGTAAACACTTCGATCGGTATTTATGCATACAATTAAACAATTTATTTCTTCTGTTCGGAAATTCTTTTGCGAAGTGAATTTTCGATATAGGCTGTGCACAGAGCGATTAAATCGAATTAATAACGCAAAATGTATTCTCTTTCTCTCTCTCTCTTTTCCTCGCGCAATGTGTTTGATCATTGAGTTGAAAGATGCAAATAAAACCATCCACACAATTTGCATGTGGTTTTCTCTCGCTCTCATTCATTCATTCGTGCCTACAACTAGCCAAATCCGAGAAGCAAAGATTGTACTCTTGCATAAAGCAGCCGATAATGAAGTCATTTATGTTGCTAATAACATACCGCTTAACATTTCTTTTGCGCAAGTGCTGATAGGTATGGATTTTTCCTTCGCGATAAGGAAATTGATTATCTTAGTTTTAGTCTATATATATATATGTTGTTATTGTTGCAGTTGTATGTGTATTGTTGAACAATCTGCCTCTATAATTTTTTTTTTCTCTCTTTCTGTTTCTATCGCTTTTGTCCACAGTTGTTCCTGCGTCTCTTGTCGCGTTATTGATGTCGTTCTTTTCATTTGCATCCACACACTACTTTATTATGCTATACTGCATTTTAATTTATTTATTTAACTTGATTTCCATCGTTTTTGCATGCGATACTTCCAATGTATTCAACATATTTTTCAGTCAATGTTTAAAGATGTTTATACACATTGGCGTATGCAAAGAAGCCGCGCGGAAAAAAACGAGAGGAAGAGAGAAAACATTACACAAACAATAAAACGCAACACTTTCTTACACTTTTTTGCCACGGCACATCGATTTTTATCGATTGAATGCCAATATGCACATAGCATAAGGAAGACACACATGAAACAAACAAAAAAAAACAGCACGCACAAAAAAACCGAGCAAATTCGAAACAGCGGCCAGCCAAAAACGTCGATACACACACACACACAAATTACACACGTAGAATTGCTATCGAAATTCCAGTGGTTCAGTGTAAATATCAAAAGATATGCAAAAATGCAGGGATATATATGTATATATAAAAATTTCTTTTTTGTTCTCAAGCAACGGCAATTGTTTTGCTGCGATGCTTCTTGTTTCCATATGCCGAATCAGCCGAAATGTGAAGTTCCCGAAAATGTTACGTAAAGAAATGATCACAGTGGATACACACACATACACACGTCAACTTTGCGATGCCATCTTATGATCTTGACTTACGATCAATCAACAAATGAAAAATGAACTGATCCCCGAACTTTAAAATTAAGTTACCTCAATTTATACCACATTTTGGGTACAAAATAACAACAACAAAAAATAATGCAAGGAAATGCATTGCACAAAAGAGCGACGAGCCAGAATGAACGATGAGAAACATGATCAACGAACGGTGCTCACTAATCCTGAAAGTTGTCAAGAGTTTGCATATATCGATGTAGCATCGAGTCTGTCTTTCTCTTACATTCTCTGTTGGTTGATTCTCATTTGCATCAAACAACAAATTTTTTTTTTGCAAATATTGTTCAAGGCAACAACACACATACACGCACAAATTAAGTTATCATTTGATTTTTTGTTGCTTTTTGTTGTCGCTTCGCGCAATGTGTTGTATGTTATGTTGTTTTGCGTGTGCAAATCATGCTTTTTGTTTTGACTTGCCGTGCACATTCTATGACTCAATCTGTAGCGGCTTTCTTTTGTTATGCGAAATTTTGCATAAAATGAAGTGTGTAAAACAGCGTCAGAAAAATGATCGTCTCCCGAAAATTCTCTTGGGCAAAATATGTTTTTTCGCGCGAATCTTTTTTAATTTTTCAATACAATACATACGAACACTGGTTAAATACAGGCCAAATGAGCAATTAAACGCATCTAAAGTGCATATGAGACACGATCATTTTATTCGCTTTTGCTCGGCACTTTACCGAGAAATTTGTCTTTTGCATTGCAATCGATATTATTTATGTTCAGAATCAGGCGTGTTAAATTTAGTTTAAAATCGCAGTTTTTCTTTTCTGTCGCTGTTTTTTTTTTTTCTGTTGCAAAGTCTAAGCAATATTTTATGCTGCTGTGAATGCACTACAATTCCGGCGGCAGGAAAACATGTGTAATTCATTTTTCAGCCAGACAAAAATGCCTCATTCATGTTGGAGGACAAAATGTTGTAATGAGCTTGTGAAGTCGTCGTCATCTTTTTTTTCTTTAGGCATGATTCTCTCTCTCTCTCTCTCTCTCTCTCTCTCTCTCTCTCTCTCTCTCTTTCTCTGTGCATATGCCGTTAGAAGTTCATCACTTTCATCATTTGCGCCAGTTTATCATTTTTTTTTGCGAAAAATACTTCTGTTAATTTAATGTTCATGTCTGCGGAATGGTTTCCTTTGAATCACAAAAATAGGCTTAATTATCGTCGATTTTATCTGACAACTTCGAGAAAATATGAAACATTTCTCTCTTGCTCTCCCTGCCTCCTTCTATCTCTCTCTGATTCGTTCGTTTGTTTTGTCGGCACTCAGTGCATATTAAATACGAAATCAGTTTGTTAGTCGCTTTTAGATGCGCCAGTTTAAATTCAATTTGAAAGAAAGTTTTGTTACAAATTGCACGATTTTGTATTCACACACACATATATTTATAATATGGAAGGCAGTAAAATCGCGAAAATAGTTGCCAAGAATTATTTGAGCTGCATACGCAAGCACTGTTCTCAATCGCAATACGATATGATATTACACACGTTAGATGCAAATTGGTTGCAACAAAGAGGAAAAGAGGCAATTGCAATAACAACAACATCGAGTTAGCGAACGAGCGAGAGAAAAGTGTAAGCAAAGATTTTGTTTTTCTTTCTCTTTCGTTCGATTTTGTTATGGATGTGGATATTGTTTGCCAAGTGATGCTTATAGCGAATTGTTTGTGTGTTTTTCAATAAGTTCCAGCGGAATTGCAATGTCTTGTGAAAACAAGCGAAAAATGCCGACAAAATCAGAAGAAATGTTTATAAACAAACTATCACGTATCGGTATAAACTAGGCGAGTTAAACAAAAGACTAATAAGCGAAAATAGGAGAAGAAGAAGAAAAAAAAAACACCATTTCGGGGGATCGGTGGAGTGAAAGAATTCTTATGAAGAAAAATACTGAAAGATAGGGAAGGAAGAGCCAAAAAATAAACGGTAAAAAACGATGCACTCACAAATGTAACCCGCATCCAATAGATATTATGTATAAAATAGAAGAAGAAAACAACGTCGACGAAGAGAAGAAAAAATATATAATCTAAGTAGAAGTAAAGCATAACATTGAAATTGTTATGTTCATTATGCGAGCATCGATTCGGTCGATACAACCGAGAGATCTTTCGGCATGCTTGTCGCGTTCGCTCTCTTTCGCCCGCTTGCTTGAATATGCACACAATGTGCATGGGGTTATTGTTTTGTTTTTGTTCTGCGAATATTATGTGTTATGTTTGATTGTTTGGCCGTTTTGTTGTAGCTTGATTTTATTTATTTATATATCACCGCATATTTTTTTTTTTTCTTCTGCTATTTCCACTTCTCTTTATTTAATTCACTTTGATGCGATAGTTTTACAGTAGATATTGTGTTTGATAATTTTTTTGTTTGTTTTTTCTGTTCTCCTCTACTACATGCTTATCATATTTTATACATTATGCTTCTTTGGCCACAGATTTGGATGAGGTGTGCTTTTGCACTTTTTTTTATGTTTCTCCTTGTTCTGGGTCACTAATTTTTATGCAGCTGATTTTATTTTTTTATCGCAAGCCACAACAAATGAAATCAAGCTCCCAACTTTAACTATGTTAATTTTCAATCGATTTTTATTGGTTTCTATTCAATTTGGTATTTTCTAAGGAGTAAGAACTATATGAAAAAAAATGAATTTGAAAAAATGCCGGTTTCAAAATATCAGATGCGATATGTTTGAACATCGATTGTCAGAGATGATATTGAATTGAAATAACATCGTAATCATTTGTATTGATCTGTAATCGAATAGTGCGTCGGCAGGCCACTCAATTTCACATTTCCTAATGACAAAACAAAAAGTGCACAACCATTCCGAACCATACGCACACTCACACTTTAGTGGCTATGAATGCACAATTTGTGTTGATAGTTTTTTTTTCATCTCATCTCAACTGAATCGTTCGAAGAATGGGCTCGTGTATAATTTCACAAACATATTCTTTAAAGTTGAAAATGGATTTATGCTTTGAAACCGGATGAAAACCACAGATTGCCTTTAAAACACCTACCTAAACGGAATGCTGTGCGATGTTTGTAAACAAAAAGTCATTTAACCAAATCAAAATAGTTTATGTTGCAAGTTTATTGTCGTTAAAATTGTATGTGCCGTATTCCTTCATCTCCCAATTACACTAAACTTTTATTTGCACACACATATTCTGCATAGAAATGTTTCTTCTCTTCTCATTTTTTTCTTCTCTTTCTCTCCCTCTCTCCCTCTCTATCTCGGTTTTTCTTATTTGCTTTTCCGTTTCAGGCTTTTCATTTCAAAGAAATGCTCTATTCACATAGAATAATAATTATTATGGCAAGTGTGTTATCGTATCATATTGTCCTTTCGTGTCGAGAATCGTTTTATGGTTGCAAGAAAAAAAAATGAAAGCTTGCACAAATTATATTTGCAATGCTTGTGTGTCTGTTGTTTGAAAACAAAAGCAGAAATTTCTCTTTTTTTTAATTTAACACGAAGTGTGTGGTCGCATGTTATTCACGATTGTTAAATTCATTCATTAAAACAGCTTTTAATTTGATTATTATGCACAATATAACCGGCCCGATAACATACCAATTTATTTCCGTTATTTTCCGTCCAAAAAATCTCATTTATTTGTCAGTTAAACTGTTCAAATCGAAGTCTCTGATCAAATTTTTAAGTTAAACATTTAAATAAAATTTGCGGAAAATTTAAAGCAAAAATAAACTCTAATTTTCTCATAAAATTTGTTGTTTCACATATAAATCGAATGAAAAAGAAAACGCCACACACAATTTATCGCGGTCGTACGTATTTTATCGAAATCAACGAGAGTAAGAATTCGTCGAATGCACGTAAAACGAACGGATACAGCAATACCGAAGCGATCCTCTCCAATGAAGATCGCAAACTAAAGTTTGAAACAAGCTCGAATAGCTATCATACCCAAATGTGAAGAGAAAGAAATGAGAGAGAGAGAAAACAGAAAACAAACTTAAACCGACACAACATAATATCACACAATACACAGCAAGCAAGCGAGAATCAAGCAGCAACGTTGTCAGCAGCAGCAGCAGCACCAGCACAAGCACCAGATGGATTAAAAGGCAAAACAGGCCAAACAAACCAAAGAAACAGACAACAAGCGTAAACTGGTCGCGGTTCGTTCTAGCTCTTGCTCTTCGTTCATGCTCTCACATGTCTTTCTCATGTTTCATGAATCCATTGCTTGCAACTACAAAAAAAACCCAATAGTATCGGTGTGTTCTGTGCTTCTCCTTCTCGCTCTCATATTCGGCATTGGTGCATACACAAACATCGCAACGCTTATAGAGAGTGGCAACACGAGTTCGAATCAGCGAGTCAACGTTTAGTGTCGTCGTTGTCGACGTCGTTATTGTGCATGCATCGTATAGAGAGTATGTGTAGCGACACAACTTGCACATTCAAAGTCATTAGAATTGGAGGAAAAAGCTAGTTAGTAGCGGCAACAGCGACGGTAGTGATGGCGGTGGTAATAACGCGCGCGTTCATTGTAAAACAACTTGCGACTCTATTCTCTCTCTCTCTGTGTGTGTTTCTCTTTCTGCTTTTTCACCTTCTGCACTCTCAGCACATGCATTCGCATTTTACAGTGTGAGTGTTGTTAAATTTTGTATCATGCTGCTGCACCTATCCGTGCTGCACACGAATAGATGGCCAATATCATATGGTTTGAGTTGCTTGCTTATGTATATATGCAACAAAACTGGCGACTGTACGATTTTACTGCAAGCGTGCGTTGCACTTCTGCTATATATCCACACATAAGTATATGCCAAAGAGAAATTAAATGCATCCATGCATTGACATTTCGGTGTTCTGCATTTCTTTCCTTCATCCATTTAGTCGAGGTATCCATATTTTGTTGTGCTGCTTCTTTTCCATTGCGTTGTCTTTTGACTTTCAAGCACACTGTAAATGACACAAAGAAGCGAGACGGAGAAAGAAGAAGTAAAAAATGTTCTAGGCGGCGATACACACATTGTGATTGTACATTGTCGTTGTTTGCAAAATCGAGCTCTAGATTTTGGTATATAAATCCGTACACTTTTGTTTGTTAACGGTAACACCTAATTGAAAGAAACTGCTATCGACTGTTGTCTCAAAAGAAGCACACATACACAATCACAATTGCGACAAATGCAAACCGAAATACAGAAGATAAAACACTTTGCACGGAAGACAAACCGAAATGTTTCGAATTGTCATTTGGAATAGGAAAATCTAGTGTCCATTGAAATTAAGATTAATCAATTAAATCGATCTAATCAGCTTCTGGTTAAGAGAATGTGTCTGATTAGTTGAATGGATATTGTCATATCTGTTTTAAGTGAAAGCAAATAATTGATATAATTAATTGCACAGTAAATCTATATTGGTAGAACGATGGCAATGAAAAGAAAGTTTTCGATGGACCTCTTATTCATTTTGCGTTATACATTGGTTATTTCGGTTATTTCATTTGTTTCAGATTCGATATTCTATTGAAATTCAGAAAAGTTTTGGTAAAAAACACATAAATAATCCGAATGATGATGCATGAAAGAGGATAGATAATGAAAAAGACTTCCGTTACTTCCGCTACTCAATAGTATGACGTATTTTCATTTATAAAATAAATCGAAATGTTGATAATAATGTATAATAATTGACGACGAGGTTTCGATATCATTCCACGATGACAAAATACGTAGCTTTCCTAATTAGTTAATTTTTGTTATCATAAAGCCAAAATTAAATCGCACCTAGCACCTAGGGGCTTTTATGTTCAAACGTATACTACTTTCAAGGCAAATATTGAAATATAATGCCGCATATCTAGAATATGCGCAAATAAATGTGTATAACTGCACATATTTGGCGTATATTTCGTATATATTTCTTGTATGGCATATTTTTTCATTTTCTTTTGTGCGGTCTTTCTTCGTGTGTACAATGTCAGTATAAAATACGTATTATTCGGTGCAGATTTATGCCGTATATATTCGCATATATGATGAATAAGACGCGTATATTGTGAATATTTGTGTATATTTTGTCACATGACACTCACACAGAAATTATGCTCCATAAGAGACTGTATAAAATGCAAAACTGTAGCACTGCTAGCGCCACTACGGACAACTATGGAGTTCTAGTCCGTTGGTTGCAACTGAGCAAAAGTCTTTTCACTATTTGGCGGCAACTTAGTGTAGATTACATTGAATTCCGTCGTGGCGCTAGCAGTGTCACAGTTTGGGCATAATTTCGGTACGATGACACTATTTAATTGTTAATAGGTTATTATAGGCATCCAGCGTTATGTTTCTGTGAGAGTGAAACCACGCATCCAAAATTTTCAATTTTACATTAAAACAATGGTTATTTCAAAATTTTATATGAATAAAACGACTTTTATTGGTCGTCATTTTTTGAGAATTTGAGCTCCTTTTTTATCACCTTTCATTTCTTGGCCAAGACGCCTCAAGGGACAGAATTTTTGCATAAAAGCAGTTGTTATTTTCAAATCTAAACCGAAATTGAGATATCAATACTAATTGGAAATCGGAAAATCTTCCGATCGATTTTTCTCAATTTTCCGATGGGTAAATCGAAAAAATAACATCTAGATCAAACAAACAATGACATCTATTATAAGTTATGATATTTTTGTTTCTTCAACAAGATTCACTTCCACTGCATATACTTTTCACTTTCGTGTGTGAATGAAGTTTACCCCTGTTGATGTGCACAAAGTGTTCTCTGAAAATAATCGCTTCCAGATTATTCACAAACTCGGTTTATTTTATTCATAAATATCTTCATGGACGCAAACGCTATAAACAACAATATCATCATCAATGTGCATGTATCCATTCAAAAAGAAGTTATCGTCATGGTCTATAATAGTTAATATTTGGAAAAAGCATAGGACAAGTATAGTTGTCAGACATTGAATGGCGCTGTATCTATCCTATAAACATCGAACTAATGAAAATGTGTGGTGGTTCATGTCTTATTTAATATACAATAGTGGAAATTTATCCAATGCACAAACCATTTCTTCTAGTTCCTCACCATTTCTTCTAGTTCCTCTTACATTAGTGTAGGGGGATTCTTCTAAAGTTCAGAGAATGACGTTTGCATATAAATATAAAACATATAAAAGACACTTTTAGGCTCGTCTTATGGGAAAAAGTACATTAATCTACGCTAAAATTGAAATAAACGTAAACGATCGAGTTTTGCACGAAGTGTTTTCTATTAATTTCAAATTTGACGCTGAAACAAATTGCTGTTAAATGTTAAAGAGTATAATATTCGATAGTAGATAAATTAATATTAATGAGTGTTGGGGACTTTTTTTTTAAACGAAAACATCAACTGATGCATCGACATCTATTTTTACAGATTTAATCACATCCCACTGATCGTTGTGAATCGAGCACAATTTCAATGCAGTTATTTTTAAGTGGAAAAAGTAAATATTTTTATGTAAGGAAACAATTTTCTTATTGAATAAACCCTGTTCCTTTGACTTACATTGAAGCTGATTTCTACTGCTGCTACCATTTGTATAGTTTTCTTTTGAGTATTTGTAAAACAAATAACGATCGAGAAAATTGATGCTTATGTTCAAATAATGCAAAAAATCATAAAAACTACACTAAAATATCGTTCTGTCGATTATTCAGATGCCAATGCACATTTATTATTGTTATTCTTAAAAGACGGCGTGCGAAAACAATATGCATACAGAAGTATTCAGTTAAGATTTGAAATGTTAAAAAAATCGTTTTTTTTTTCGATGTTAGTTCCTTCCACCACTCGGATTTTCTTTTGTTTGTAAAATTTTAAGCCGTTTTTTTGCAGTTATTAACATGTACATTGGTACATTTTCACACCTCAGTTGAACTTATTGAAATGATGATGATGTGTAGTTTTTCAGAAGAGTTTCCTTCCATCCGCAATTTAACTGTTTTCACAATGGTATATCGACCTCGATGAATGTAAAATAATTCACTCTCCTTCGAACACAAAAAATCATATACAATAGCAGCGGTAACAAAACCCAAATGGCGAAGTGTTAGGGATTACAATAAAATGAATAAAAAATATTGAATAAAATGGAGAAATAAAAAACAAAAATCCCATGCAAAAGTGCATAGAAATGGAGTTTAGTTGAAAGATTTTCATCTGTTGTACAAATATGATGTGCGTTGTAATGATGGCAAAATTCAGGTTGGGCTTCATGCAGTTTTCACTTCATGCTCGTTTTGTCTTAGCTTTCTTTCTCGCAGCTTCTTTTCTTCTGCACTTTTTTTTTCATCGTTTCTTGTTATCGCGCCTTGCGCTTCGTTCTGTGTGTATTTTGCTGTTTATTTTTTGTTTCGGCGACTTTGTTTTTTTCTTTTCGTGTGTTTTGTATTTTTTTTTTTGTAGTGATATAAGTGCACTTTAGCACGAGCAATGACGAGCCGCGACTTGATTTAGCACAAAACGTATGAAT